AAGGAGAAAAAGGAAAGAATGGGGGAGAAGAGGGCGTTGTTCAGCCGCAGTTAAAGCAAGCCTCACTTCGCATTATCTGATCTACACGGCAGTTGGGAAAGGCTCACGGTGAAGAAAGGAGACAGACAAAGAGGAAGTGTGTGTCCGACGCAAACCCCAGCTTCACACATCTTCTGAATTCGAAGCTGACCAGCAGCACTTTGTAGAATTTGAAGGAACTTCAGGGATCACACCATCTAGAGTTATCTTGGAGTGAAGAAAGCAAGATTTTTCTTACCCAACAGTTTCTTACCCAATCAGAATTTTGTTAAAGCTAAAACCGCTTTCTACCTACATGTTTTTAGGCTGTATATGACTTTCTGTGACTCTGTCTCTTGAGCACGTCAAGCCATGGCAATGAGAGTCCACATTTGTGATCTCAGAGAACAGAAAGGCCCTGCATTGACAAGCCTGAAGCTGAGGATGTATTTATTAAAAACAGCCATCTCTTTTACTACTGTCCTCATGAGCTCCAGGTTCAGAAAGCTCCAGATAAAATTAGGATCACTCAGTTCAAAGTCTGCCTCTAATGTAGTAAAATACTACTCCAGCTTGCCAAAGAAATTGATAATCTGAAAAAATAAAAATCTAGTTATCTAATTTTTCATGACTATTAAAAGAATTCCATCTTATTCATTCCTAATGTGCTTTTTAATAAGATGCAATTTCAGGCATGGTGGCATGTACCTGTCATCCCCGTACTCTATGAAGCTAGGCCAGGAAGATTGCAAATTCAACTTGCAACTCAGTGACTTCCTGTGACCCTGTCTCAAAATTTTTTTAAAAATTTAAAATTTAAAGGACTAGGGACGCAGTTCTATGTGAACATCCTAAGTCCAATCCCCAGTACCATAAAAATTTCCATAAGGTCCACAAATCTTAAATATACAATTTAATGGATTGCTATAAAGATATATCTTACAACTACCACAAAGATCAGTATACAGAATATCTCTAGTATCTGAGAAGGCTTGCTCATCAATCTCTAGGTCTATATTTACCTCATCTGTTCTGACTTCTACCATCATATATCCTGAAGCACTTTACAAGATTTTGGTCTCATAAAAATGGAAGTACAGGATATGTACTCTTTTATGTGTGGCTTCTTTAATTATACATTTTGTAATTCATCCACAGTATGCATATTGTTTTTATTGTTATTATTCTTTTTATTGCTGTTTAGTATTCCTTTGTGTGAATTTGCTGTACTTTATTCATCCTGCTGATGAACATTTGGGCTATTTCTAGCACTTTAGGACATTATACATAACTAAATCTGTTATAAAAAGAAATGACATTCATTTCTATTGAGCATATGCTATATATAGAGCTGGAATTCCTGGATCTTTCACTTTCCCTTTCAGAGTCATTTTTGTTTTTTAACTCTGAACTATAAACTAATCTAAGTTGCCAAATGAACCATAATAGTGAGAATCATTTCATGTCTCATAAGTACTCTGGGTGGAATATTTCATGGCTCAAAGTTATCCATTGATGGATTAATACCTTTTGTTATTCATTCTCTGTGGTTCTCCTGATATACATCTTCTGACAGTGGGAACAAAAGAGAAAGAAAAAAATATTGCTTTTTTTAAAAAACTAGGGATTGAACCCAGAATCTTCACACTGACCTACATCCCTAGCCCTTTGTGTTTATTTTTTAAATTTTGAGACAGGGTCTCATTAGGTCAGTAAGATCCTCCAGCGTGGGTTTAAACTTACAGTCCTCCTACCTCAGCATCCTAGAGTGCTGAGAGTGTGAGTGTGTGCCCCTGAAAGATTGGCTCTTGCAGAGGACATCTGAGAACTTGCTCTCCATCTATTTATCCTGGACACGGTGTTGTGGTATGGAAGAGAAGTACAGGCCTGAATCAGGAGTCTTGGGGTTCATGTCTAAGCTCGGCAAGGAAGGTTTCTACTTTCCAGACTGGAGTTTATGGCATAAATCACAGCATTCATCAACACCTCACCTGGAGGATTCATTTGTATCAAGGGTTCTCAAACCTGACTACAAGTCAGAATTATCTTAAAGAGATTTTAATGTTTGTTTTTATCACAAAACAGTACTTTAATAGGGAAAATATAATGGTTCAGAAGAGTATAAGATAATAAGTAATCCCCTACTGTCTGTGAAACACATCATTCTTCTACCTAGAATTCCTTAGTATTGCACTTAACATTTAAAATAAAGATACTGCTGGGCATGGTGGTGCATGCCTGTAATCCCAGCACTCGGGAGGCTGAGGTAGGAGAATCCTTTAGAGTTTGAGACAAGTCTGGACTACAAAGTAAGCTGAAGGCCAGCCTGAGTGCATAGCAAGACCCTGTCTCAAAAAGACAAAAAATAAAAATAAAAAATAAAATAAAATAAAGATACCTGGGCCTTATTCCAGACTTAATGAATCAGAATCTCCAAGGTCCTAGGATATACATTTTTAAAAAATCTTCATAAAAATTGTGTTTTCATGTTCTTATTTCTGGGACAAAATACCTGACACAGGAAATTAAGTGAAGAGATTACTTTGCTTCACAGTTTTGGAGAGTTTAGTCCATGATTGGTTAGCTCCAAGGCAAAAACAACATTGTAAAGGAAAGCTGCATAAGGCATGGCTCCCAGGAAGCAGACAGAGAAGAAAGAAGTCTGGGGCAAGAGTACATCCTTTAGATCACAATCCCAGGAAACCTACCCTTCCAAACAGACCCTGCCCCCAACAGCACATTCAGCTATGAACTTACCAGTGGATGAATCCACTGAAGAATACAGTGGCCCATGATGCAACCACCTTCCAAAAACCCTATCTCTGAACACATGAGACTTTGGGGGGTCCTTTTAAATCTAAACTATAATGACAATTTTTGATAGACTTTCAGATTTGGGCATGAATCCCCTCACTTAAAAATCTCTGAGATCCCTTCCACTAAGATCCATCCTCACAAAATTAGGTGATTTGAGTTGCAAGTTGCTGCTGGGATTGGCCCTTAGAATAACTACAGTAACAATAGTTTTATTTTTCTCTTTCTATTCATGCCATCTCTCTTCACCTTTAGCTGCTCAATTTCCTCACTTTATAATTTTCAGTACTTCTTTGCCCACCTAGAAGCTTCAGTAGTTTCAAGGCAGTGACTCATTCAATGAAAACTCTAGCTCTTTTTTAATCCTGTAAACCAATCGGTATTAAAGAATTTACCAGCCACTAAATATCAGATCTGCCTCAAGTAACAAAGCTTTATGCTGAAATTTAGATTTCCCATAACACTCTTAACAAATATCATGGAGCAGTTTCTTACAGAATAACCAGGAAAATTCCGTTAGTCTGATAAGCTCTTATATAAAACCTATATACATAAACTTTTGTCCATGCCAACCATCACTACTGTACCTCACTTAAAGTGCCTCAAAAATCACATTGTGATTTTTGACACAAATTATGTTTCTAGGAATTTATTGAAATAAAGTGGTTGCTATCATCAATTAGTAAGAGAGGAGGGCTCAACTGAATAAATTATGCAATCCAAATTACACTATAGGACATTATCTTTTAAGCCCTTTACTAATCAAACCATATAATCAACCTCAGAAGAAAAAGCAAAAGAAAGAAACCTACATATAGTTTTTGTGATTACAAAAGAACTAAAAGGAGAAAATAAAAATGTACATTGTTAGGCTGAAGATTAAGAATACACAATTCAAGGGATAATACATGTGTCATAAAAATAATAATTACATATAGTTCTGTTCTGAAAATACACATTTCTTCTATAAACTTCAAGATTACTTCTGTTACTTAAAAATACCTCTACTTGAGGATATTTCTAGGCAATGTTTTTCCAATTTATTTATCCACTCAAAAGCTAAAGTAATAGTGGTTAAATTACTTTCCTTTATATAAAAGCAAAATCTGGATGGTATTCACTTATCCCGACTTTTAGAGTTGATCACAGAATTTTATATCAATACTATATTTGTGAAATTCCATGTAGGCTATACACAGGGGTGTGTGTGTGTGTGTGTGTGTGTGTGTGTGTGTGTGTGTGTGTGTGTGTGTGTGTGTTACCTGAGGGTGGCTAATACTCCAGTTAGATAAACTGGAAAGACCATAGAACATACCGGTTCATAACCTCAGAGCTTCATATCTTCTTTCACTCTGGGATCTTTGCCTAGAACACCCATAGTTTGATTAACTCCTTCCCACTGCTTGTGCTTCTTCTCACCTTTTTTGAAAACCCTGAGCTGAATGCCTCTTCCCCTTGTCTTGGCTATCCTTCTGACTGTAACTACCTTTCCAACACTTACGCCTTGATCTAAAACGATCTGTGGTTACAACAGCCTCTTCCAGTAGCCTTGAAGTGCTCTGGGGAGCTTATCAAACACTGCAACCTTGTAGGTGAGCACAATGTCAATGCTAAATGTATATTGACAGTACTGCTTTTCTGATGTCAAACTTGCATTTTAGTCATTGAATCCTCTTCTTTTCAACTGCCTTATACAATATTAATCCTGCACAGTTGACAGTTCAGCACAGCATAAAATACAATATTTCCATTCTCTTTTCCAGTTTATCTGTTTGGTTCATCTATAATTTGTCTAAATCAGCATTTCCCAGTTTTGCATTTCAGGGAGCTATGCTCTGAGAGATAATGTTAAATAAGGGTCTCAGTAGGAGATATATCATTCAGTTTAGCAGGTAGGAAATATAGGGTTCACATACAGATGCTGGGGGCAAACTGCAGGCCACATCCTGAGTGACTGTTTTACCTTGCTGTGTTTCCATGTCCCTGTTAATCAGGATTAACAGTAGTGTTTCTTGAAGAGAGCTGTTATCAGGACTTCTTGAGTATTACACGCATTTAGAATGCCTAGTATAATACGTATTAAGTACTAAGAACATACTAACTACTGTTGTTCAGTGAAGTTAACAGTTTTCTTTTTATTTGGCTATACTTTGTTTTGTTTCCTATAAGACTGCTGAGAATTGTTAAAGTTCTGATTTACCTAAGAACTTCTAGGTAAGCAATATTTTACAAATTTACTTAATAGAAGTCCTATTGGCTTAACCCAAAGTAATGTGCTTTAAAATCTACTTTGGGAAATTCACATTTAATACATTTTAAGAAACATTAGAATTGTCTGAGCCAAACAAGAACACTGATTTGGCAAGTATAAATGTAAGTTGTAGCAACTGGAACATAGCGTTTGAAATGAGGATCACTTTAGAAATCAGAAACAGATTATTAAAAACCTCCAAGACTTATTTTTTCTGTACTGGGAATCAAACTCAGGGCCTCTAGAGCTTGCCAGACAGGCACTGTACCACTGAGCTATATCCCCAGCCCAACCTATTTTGTAATGCACTTGAAAATCTCTCCTTAAAAACAAACTGAAATCACCAACAGAGTGAAAAGAAAACCCACAGAATGGGGAAAAATTGTAGCCAAATGTGCTTCACTTGTCTTGGTTACTTTTCTCTCATTGCTGAACAAAATACCTGACACCCAAAATTAAGGAAGGAAAGGTTTATTTAGCTCACAGTTTGTGGAGGTTTCAATCCATACTTGGCTGGGTCCAAGCAAGGGTGGCACATGGTAGAGGGCAACCGTTCATGGCTGTGGAAGACAGCAAAAGCAGCAAGAGCAAAAGGAGGAGCAGCAGCAGCAAGCAGCCTCTGTCCTTCCCTTACATTGTATGTAATCTGTCCACCCCAGGGCAAGTGTAGCACTCACATCCATAATTCCAGCATTGGATTATGGACCAATCAAAAATCTAGAATAGAAGCCCATCCCATGACTGCATGAGGATTTAGAGGGACATGCCAACACAAACCATAACACTCAGACAAAAGACTTCTATCTAGAACAAATAAAGAACTGAAAAAAATCAGGCCCCCCAAATTCAAAGATCCAGTCCAGAAATGGGCATCTGAGATGAATATACACTTCTCAGATGAAGAAATAAAATGGCAAATAAATATATGAAAAAATGCTAAACATCATTAGTTATTTGAAAAATGCAAATTAAAACAGCACTGAGATTCCATCTCACTCCAGAAAGGATGGCTATCATCAAGAAATACCAATAACAAATGCTGGTGTGGTTGTTGGGAAAAAGGAACTCTTCTCCACTGTTGTGGAAGTGTAGACTAGGGCAACCTCTGTGGAAATCAGTGTGGAGGTTCCTCAAAAAGCTAAGATTAGAGGTTCCTTTTGACCCAGCTATTTTCTTTCTGGGTATTTTCCCAGAAGAAGTGAAAACACATCATAACAATATATTTGCACATATGTTTCTAACAGAACAATTTGTCATAGCTAAATCTTGGAAGCAACCCAAATGCCCATCAACTGAGGAATGGATAAAAAAGATGTGGCATTTTTATACAATGGAGTATTACTCAGCTATAAAAAAAAAGATAAACTAGAGGCTTTTATGCAACTAGAAATGGATGCAACTAGAGACCATACTCTTAAGTGCAATAGATCAGACTTGCATGTGTAAATATCATATCCCTAGTGTAAGAAACTGAAAAAGTAAATAAGACCCACAATGCACAATAGATATTGTGAAAGGGAAAGGAGTTGCTTAAAAGGAAAGAACAACTGGGGTGGGGGAAGAAAAAATATATATACACATTTGTATATATATTTATACATATATATAGACATATCTATATATCTATATATGTATACATATAGACATATCTATATATGTGTACATATATATATAGACATGTATATGTGACAATTTTCTAATATATAATTTTTCTAATGTACATATACGCAAAGTAGTTAAGATAATTATATGACCAATTTCTGTTAGTTCGCTGAAAGGAACAGTTTGTGCTTATATTGTTTCATCAGTTTTGCATGCCTGCATCTTATAAGCTGAGCAACTACTTTGAAAATAACAATCTGCAATATAATAACCATTGTTAATTTCCTATTATCTTGTTTTGGAATTCTGTAGCATTATTTTAATTTTTCTTTCTCCTTAAAATAAAAATATGAAGTATAAATGAGACGATAGTCATTCATTCTAAACCAAGGGCTGTAAATATTGGTCAAAAAGGAAACAACTTTTTCTGATACAATTGAAAAATTATTATTTATTAAAGATGAAGATCCAAACATTCTTATTTAAAAACTTATACCATTTATCTTAATTATAGTGCATCCAATGAGAACTTCCTCTATAGTCAGGAAATCTTGCAAGTAGAATATTCTGAAAGGGGGAGCTGAAGAAGGAAGTAACTGACCAAAGTGATAAAGAGGAACATTTTTAAACCTAAGCAGTTCGCTGCATAACTAAAAGGACAAGAGAGAGCTCAGCACACTGATCTTGAGGTATGCAAGAATCTGCTGTAAAGTGTTTGGGTAACAAAACATAATAAGAAACAATTTGTCTTCATTTATTAGTGACTTGTGTCTTATCGAACACAGTTTTTAGAAAAACTGTCACAGAAGGAAAAATTTATAAACTGAAAATGATGTTAATAGATAAATAGATAGATAGATCCATCTATGCTTATGCTTTTTTGTGTCTGCCTTGCTTCCCAATAGAAAAGCAGTAACTGACTATAAAAATTCCATTTTATCAAAAAATTGTTATTTTTTTGTTAAGACAAATGAATGGCTAGTTACAAGATAACTGGTTAAAATTGCTTCCCAAAATAAAAACAGGATCTTCCAAATGGGGCCAAGTGAAACTCATTTATGTGTTAAAGGGTATTTGAAGGGCTTTTATTTAAAATATGTTTTTCATAGGTATATGGTTATGTATTACAGGGTTTTTCTTATAAAGTTATTTTGAAGAAAGGGAGAGGACACATTTCCTTTGCTATAAGAAGTCTTTTTACTTTTACCTCCATGCACACCTCATAGACAAAAAGTTTTGCTTTTAGGAATGTACTAAAATGTTTACTGTGCATAGAACAACATAGGTAGTAAAAATAAATTCTCCTCTTAGAAAATGAAAAGACAGCCTGGTGTGGTGGTGCACACCTATAATCCCAGCACTCGGGAGGCTGAAGCAGGAAGATCATTGTGAGCTTGAGGCCAGCCTGGGCTACAAAGCAAGCTCAAGCACAGCCTGAACTGCATAGTGAGATCCTGTCTCAAAAAGACAAAAAACAAAAGAGAAACTGAAAAAGCAATTTATTTATGACCTTATGTCTGACTACCTAAAGAGTAATAATTAACCATCCAGCCTACCCACCCTCATGTTGTAGATTGATACTTTTTCAAAAACTGATTAATTCCAATCATTCTTTTAAATTATTTCATGAATATATTTCAAATATTCTGCAAGAAGCTTTGTAAACAAGTAATGATTTATACCATAAAATTGATTGGCTTATACCATAGATTGGTCTGCATGTGTTTCAGAATGGAAATGGTGTCCTAATGAGGAAAAGGCCTTTGGACAAACATTTTCCCTTAAATGTAAGCATCATGTTTGGTCTTGTAATAAAGGAACCACGCAGGGTATAAATCTTATATGGTGAACATGCAGCTCTCAATCCATTGTGCTCCTCAAACTTGCAAGGAGATGAAAAGATATCTAGGAGTGTCTGTCCCTATGTTTTTATCAAAAAAGTCCATAAATTATCTGCCTGTAACACAGTTTGGTTATCTGAAATGTCAAATTGAAAATCTGCACATTGATATAGTCTCTCCTGGAAAGAAATTATAAATGTTCCTGAGTGTATATAAAGACTCACTGCCAGCTGGACACTACTTTGTGGGATTTCATTTTTTGTGTTTATCATTACTAATATTATTAAGGCAGATTGCTACAATTATTAAATATATTATTTGATAAATTATCTACTATGTGGAAAGTATTGTGCTGATGGTACAAAGATAAATAAAATATGGTTCCCAGGGGCTGGGGATTTAGCTCAGTGGCAAAGCGCCTGCCTGGCAAGCGTAAGGTCGTGAGTTCGGTTCCCAGTACTGGAGAAAAAAAAAAAATATGGTTCCCAGCCCACAGTAACCTAGAACTAATCAAGCTACTATTTTTTTTTTTTTTTTGGCTTTTTCTGGTACCAGGAATCGAACTCACAGCCTTGCGCTTGCCAGGCAGGCACTGTGCTGCTGACAAGCTACTCAAATACAGTGATGGATGCATTGGTCGCCATTTATACATATCTGTTACAATACAGGGAGAAGTTTTTACATAACTACTGATTCAGTCACTTCTCAGTTGTTAAGGAAGTTAATTAACAACTTCAGTTGTGTATTTTATCATTTATAAAATGGTGATTACAATAGGATCCACTTCATATAAAAGTTATAGGACTAAATAAGATAATTCACATAAATGTGTTTAGAAGTTGACTCAAAATAAGCACTTAAATATGACTGATGATGATATTCAATAGATGATAATAATCATTCCACAAGTATTAGTAACAATATTAGATGTAACTATTTCTGTGTCTAGGCTGAAAATGTACAGCAATAATGGTTTATTGATAAAATCATAATAGAACATGCAGCCTTGTTGAATGCTTCTCATTTCCTCCTGGACATTTAAGAGCATCAACAGAAAGCAACTTAATATAATAAGTGAGGTTTATTTGCTAGAAAGTGTAAGAAGATTGATGATGTTTTCAAGGATATTTTGTTTTACTTCAAAGATCTCTTTTCATGTTTTATGTATGAACAAGATCCTTTAGAAGATATACCATGAGTTTTAAACTATCAATATAAGCAATTAAATGCTGGATTTTGGAATTATTTTAACTTAATTCTTCATTCCATAAATATTGATTGAATGTCTTGTGCTAAGTGTTATCTAGGAATATGAAAAAGGTTGATCTCTGTTCACCATTTAACCAAGTAGAAAGACATACAGTTGTTTGTCATTTAGGTTATCATGCTGTAGGAGAAAATGGGCTTATTACTGTGGAATTAGAGAAGAAATGATTAAAGAAAAGACATAGCCCTTGCTCATTCTGATGAGAGATAAGCATAGCTTCACACAAGGGAGATGACAGGTAAGGGAAATGATCGCACATGTATTCTCCTCTCCCATTCCTTCTTTTGCATTCAGAACATTTTCTTTCACCTGACAATTGTCAATCTTATTGTCAAAAATTATGCTGAAACTTAAGTGATAAAACTATTTGGGCTTGAGTAGGGATAGATTCATCAAATTCTTTTCCTCACCTTACAGTATCTAGGGTTGTATTTTATATTAAAAGGCTGACCATACAACATGCAGGCATTTATTGAATTGGTAGACATGATAGATTCTTCACTATGTTATATATTGGACATGCAATTAATATATTTTAAACTTATTACAGGTTTCTGGATGGCAGATGATTATTCAACCTTCTTTTCCATGAGTTCTCTACTCTGTTACTATCTTCCACCCATATCTGCTTCATTTGTGATTTACTGATTTAAAAAAGGAAGTAGAATGGAATAAAATTCTCTGACACAGTAACTGTACACAAATGGTTGTAATGTGAATAGTATCACCCACAAAGTCATCTCCCAAAGCTAAATCAATCTCATTTCTAGTTGTATCAGGACTTTGCCAGAGAGCATTCCTTCATGTCTCAAGAAGTAATGCCTGAAAGAGCTCCCAAACTTAGTTCTGAACAACATTAGGCTACAGGAATTACAACCATCTGTACCCGTGAATTCATTAACCACACTAAAGCGCTGCAAAAATGTTAATGAGCTATGGATATACTTCAGTGTCCATCTCTGTGGGTATTTTCCTTCTTGTACTCTTGGTGGCATGTGGAATTGGCTGTGTTTGGCACTGGAAAAGCCACACCACACGATTTACCTCACTAAAGTTTTTACGAAAAAGGAACAGTAAGAGAAAAGACTATCATAAAGCACTCTTCTTGACTCCACACATTTTTGGCTTGAATCCCAAAGCCTCAGTTGAAACGAAAGACCACAGATCTACTAATAAGGGATGTAGGGTGCCTGGCCACTATGAAAATATGGCAGCAGATCCTCCCAAAGCTAAAGAAGAAAGTGACAAGGAATTATATGAAAATGTTCAGCAACCCAATTTTGAGGAGCACATCTATGGCAATGAGGAATCCTCTGAGTATTATATCTTTCAGAAGCCTGGTACATCTGAAGTTCCTCAAGATGAAGATATATACATTCTTCCAGACTTGTAATGGCTTTTCAAACTCCTGAGTTTCTTTGTTGAAGAAGAAATATTTATTGAGAACTTTAATATATTGATATCATCATTGGTCAAGTTCTTCTGATAAATCTCTGTGTTCTCTCCTAGCTTTATTCCTTTCTGGATGTAATATTGTAGGGTAATTGCAGATATCCTCTCTCTCCTGTTTCTTTGCCTTGGATTAAATCTATACTGTGTTGTATCAATGCTTCCTTCTAAATACTACCTGTTATGTCTTTCCTTTATTTCTACTTCCACCATCTTTTTCTGGTTCAGGATTTTTGTTAGTCTCCTAGTGAACTTCCTACTTCTAGTTTATACTCACTTGATCAGTTGCCAAAGATGCTGCAAGATTTACTTTCAGAAAGTATTCCTAATAGTCACAGTACTCCTTTACTGAAAACCTTTTAATACTCTTCTTTGCAAGAGACATTAATACTCATAATTCTAAATACCACAACTCATGATTTGTCACAATTAGCTCCAATTTACTTTTGTAATGACTTCTGCTACTAATCCCTCTCTTCTGTACTTTCATCAGAATCATACCAAAGTCTACAAAACTCACCCCTCCCTCCTCCAGAGCTTTGCTTTCCTGTTGTTTTTAAGTCTGCCTAAGATCACAACTTTTTCCATGAATGTTCTGAATCATTCCCAATCCACATTTAACTTATCATTTTCTGATACTGTGTTCAACTATTTGGGCATTTAAATATGTGTATGTTTGCTATGTGTTTTATTACTTAATGTCATATGACAACATTTTAAAGTGCTAGCTAAATAGAATGGATCTGCCTCCCATTTTCATTTTTAGCTTCATATCAGCTATTAAGTACTTGTCCAATTGGCAAGAATTGAGTTGTACATTTTGTTAGTGTTGAGGAATATCTAATAAATTCATTCATTATTCAGCTATGTATGGAATATTTATTGAGCAATTTCCATCTACTGGTTGTGCTGTGCTCATAAGGAGGAGGAAGGAGGATTGCTACAAAAGTAGAAAGAGGCATGAGTCCTGAACACATGGTCTGGTAGGAAAGAGAAAGCAATAAACAAATAAAATATAAGTAAATAATTTTGGTGTTCATTATGAAGCGATCGTCTCATCTCTAAACCTACCCTTAATGAACTGCTCTGAATTGCTCAGTCTGGGGCTCTACAAACTACCTTTATCTTCGCCAGGTGGATCCATATTAGACTCTGTGATAAAGATTGGAAAGCAATAGAAAGCAAGACAGACTTGCTGCTGCTGCTTATTCTTGTCCCTAGAAGGTACAACTGAATGTAATCCATTCCGGCCAGCATCACCAATTGTGATGGAGTTTCTAATTTCTACTGGCGCTCCAGAACCAGCCTTATTGTACCCCATCACCAGCCTGACAGCACTGTCCCTTAGCATCTAGGCCCTCTCCAAGCTGCCAAAGCACTTTCTCCAAGACTCTGATAATCCTTAGTTTCAGGAAGGTAACTACTTCCTACATTGATTATCTTTGTGGCACCTCAGGGTCCCCTTTTGTTTTTTCTCAGTCTGTTCACACCCATGTAGGTAATTCTTTAAATTCTTTCTATTAAAACAAACTGGCAAAATGTCTCTTAACCCACATGGACCTGGAATGATAAGGATATATAAGTAAAAGCTTTGAAAAGAAAAAAAAATGCTTTTGTTTTGAGAGTGGTAGAGTGGGGAGAAAAGAGAATTTTAATTTTAGTAACATGATCATAGTAGGCCTCTCTGAGGACACACTCAAACTGCAACTTAGGGTAAAAAGAAGCTAGTCCACATAGATGTGACAAGCAGAGGGGTAAAGAGGGAGCCAGCATGTAAGAAGAGCCTGAGACATGAGGGGATGTGTGGTGCTCTTGAAGCTTAAAGAAAGCCATTGTGGCTGGAACTTTCGGAGTGAAGATTAAAGTGTCACCCAGTGGATTGGTGAAAGGAGAAACAGTAGCTCACACAGCTTCTCTTAACTCTTGATGTGTGACTTTGACTATTAGAGGTGCTAGTGGGGTAGTAAAGAGATTTAAACAGAGCACTGACATGATAGCATTTGTATCTTTTGAAAGAGATGGGTTGAGAAAGAATTGGGAAGAGGCAAAATGGAAGTGGGTGGGACAGTTAAAATGTTTTCACATTTAATTTAGACTGGAGTGGCTGCAAGGTAGAGACAATAACAGTGTTGCCCTGTTCTTCAAAAGAAAGGGCACAAGAGTTTCTAATGGATGCAATGTGTGTGTTTTGTGGGGAGAAGGGTAAAATTGGGTATTATGATAAAGAAGAGTTCAGAAGAGCCACCTGATTTCTGGCTGGACCAATAGGAGCAATTAAAAAATATTTATTTGAGGTAGGAAAGACAAAGGGAAAACAGATTTGGAAGCTGTATCAACTAGAAATAAAGGATACTGCCCACAAAAAAATGAGACTATATTGGTTTAAATACTTTTAAGTAGTTTCATTTATTATTATTATTTCATTTCTTTCATTATTTAAGTTATTTCATTTAAAAAGGAGACTATAGTTAGGTATGTGATGTCTAGCATACTGGCTCAATAATACTATAGCTCAATATTACTAAGAACCAGGCTGCCTCTGGATTTCCTCTCTGCTATCTTTAATTTTTCTCTTAGTATCATACGTATTCTCCCATGACCACCACATGATTATTAAAGTTTCAGAAGCTATATAACAAATTTTCATTTGTGTTCTGGCCAAGCAGAATAAGGACAAAGAACAGTACTAGGAGATGTTTATTTATTTATAGCTCATTGTCCAGAATTGTGTGACGTACATACCACCCAGATGATAAGAGTGGATGGGTAAATAATTTTTAACTTTTGATATTCTCATAAAGAAGGAAAAAGGGGGAAAGTGAGTTATAAATATAATTTGCCTCTATCAAAATATAATATTTCCCATGGGTGCAAAAATGAATTTTGGATATGTTTACCTGACATGTCCAGAAACATGTCCTGAAATTTAAGTAGGAATATGCAGTCTGCAGTTAGAGATACATATTTGGATTTTGGAAGTGAGGTCCTAAATGGAGGTGCACGTATAGGAGCCTTTGGTTGTTAGGTGGCATTTACAAGAACAGAAAAGGATGTGATCACACTGGAGAAGACAACAGAGAACAAACATTAGGGACTCAAAAAAAGAGGAAGGAAAGGCATCCAGAAGTATCACCCCGCCTCCCCAAAATGCAACATTTGTGAAGGGAGATAGATGAGCAGGATTTAGCAAAGGAGGCTGAAACAGGATGACAAGGAAGTCCCTGTGCTCTCTAAGAACTAGAGTTAATATTGTGAACTATATGATACAGTGGGATCCATCACAGGTGATTATCTGAAATGTCAAAAGAAAAAATTGATTTGAAAGATTTAATAGGCTTTTATTTGCAATTTATGAATCTGCAGCATCCTGTCTAGAGATTTAGACAAAGGCTCCATTTGGTGTGGCAAAACAGTCCGTTTTTATAAAGTACCTTGAACAAGCACAGGGAAGCAGCGTAGTACAAAAAAGAGGATTTCTTAATGTGGGGCTTTCTCAGGTTACTTCATTTGTAAGGATTAAAGCAGGAGGCACTTTCTTACCATGCTGGTTAACACTGACCCCTTTGGAATTTGGCTATCATCTCTCTCCTACTTTCTCAGAATGCTAAAGGAACAACTTCTTTTCTCCTTGGTGACATAAAACTTTGACTTGAGTGACTCCATTTTGGTTTGGTTGGCTGGAGCCTAGCACAGGGGCTCAGTCCAGATCTATAAACTTTAGTTAACAACAGATATGATGAATGTTTTGTCTATTTTTATTCTCTTCAACCAGAAAATGTACTAAAACTGTGTAAAAGAAAATTTTTTTCCAGTGCATAACCTTGATTTACTTTCTCAAATTAATTGTAAGTTCTTTATCAATTGACAACCTCTCCCTCCTAATCTTCCTAGCAGTTCTTGAAGTGAGGGGACTGAGAAGAATAAAGGAAATTCTCCTTAAATGTTCTCTTTTTGTCATATATACATGGCATTCTCTGACTTTCTTTCCTTCACTTATTTGTCTTCTTTATGCATACTTAGTTATAACACTTTCTCACCTTAAAATCTTGAAAATAAAAATTATTTTGAGATAAAGATGATAAACGATTGTTTACGTCTATTGAGGGCAGCAGTTTATCATTATGTTATGCGTTTAGTAAAAGTAACCTGGACAGCACAATTAAAAGAGGAAGGATGTTGACAGTGGGCCAAAAGAGGCAAAAACATTAAGTGCAGTGTAACTTTGCTGTGTTCTCACAGAAATGTAGGTCTATGCACACCCTGTGACTTCTAGCTAATGTCTGTTAAGAGTATGAAGCCAGTGTCCCAGTATCTACCCACAAGGAGTACACAGCTTTTCAAATTTTCTCTCCGAGTCACTTGAAATGTTACTGCAACCTGCCATATACCTCACTTCCCAACCTGTTATTTGTCTCTATCATGAATAGAGCTTTGCTTATCCCATTGAAAGCTTTGCTTTATAGCTTCTCCATTATTGCTCATGCCAGGCAGAATGTCAAGGATAACCAGGTACTCAGGCCAACGGGCAGATTAAGATATGGGCTCCTTGGAAGAGAGAATAAAGAAAGAAATCACAAAGAAAGAGATAATCCCTGTATCTACATTGTTTTAAACCAGATGTTTGTGTCTCTTTGCAATTGTTGTATTAAGTCCCTACCTCCCAGTGTCATGGGAGGTGGTCCCTTTGGTGGGTAACTGGGTTTACATGAGATTATGAAAGTTGACTCCTCCTGCTGGAATTAGTGCCCTTTTTTAGAAGAACAGAGATAGCCCACCCAGATGAGGATATGAGTGGCTGTATTTCCTCTCTGTCACCTTTAGTTTTCCTTTAGTATCCCTTTTATTCTCCCATGGCCACCATATAGCTGCTAAAGTTTCAGGACTAATATACCCCAGAATCTTCATTTGTGTTCCAGCCAGGGAGAATAAGGAGAAAGAATCATACAATGAGATAGTTATTTATTTATATCTCATTGTCCAGAATTGTATGACACACATACCACTCAGATAATAGGAGTGGATGGGAAAAGAATTTTTGACCTTTGATATTCTCGAAAAAAGAAAAAAAAAGGGGGGGGGAAGTGAATTATAAATATAATTTGACTCTACCAACCTACAATACTTCCCGTGGGTTCAGAAATGAGATTTAGACATGCTCATCTGAACTGCTCAGAAATCTGCCCTGAAATCCAGGTAGGAATATTCAGTCTGCAACTGCATATGCAAGCCAGGAGGAGTACACTCTCCAAGAACCAAATCTATGAGCACCTCTAAAATTTCCCAGTCTCCAGAACTGTGAGAAGTAAATGTTTGTTGTCCCACCCCAATAGTCTATGGTGCATTGTTAGAGAAGACTGGGAAGGCACTTCTAAAACTGTTATCCTAAGCCACAATAACCAGTTGTTGCTGTTATTGTCATTAATTTAAGGAGTAGATCTCATATCTGCTTGTTACTGCTTACCTTGCGACGTTCCACTTGGGATTCCTTTCTTCTCTGAGCCCTCTTAGGAACCTCCATTTCTCTCATACAACTCTCAATGTAGTGGTTCTCCAGGACCTTTCCTCAGCGCCCAGCTTCTTTTCCTTCTTAGATTACCTAAGAAAAGACATAGGTGAGGTGATCTAAGCATTTTATGCCTGAACTCTCCTGTTCCAATGTCTTTTTGAAACAGTTGACTTGAAGAGCTTAGCACCTATTGCTTATTTCTGGCTGGTGTCCTTCAGCCAGTTTAACCTTCGCATGAGTCAAACCAATGAGCGGATGTTAAAGTGAGGGTGTCACCCAGAAGTAGAGGTTTAAAAAATTTGGTGATAAAGGGAAGCTATCGATCACATAGTTTATTTGCTAGTAATTTTAAAAGCAGAGTTCAAAATGCCTCAGAATCAAAAGCATCAGTCTAAAATAAGATGAGGTCAGTGCACCATGCCCTGAGAAGCTGCATCTTCCATGTCCAGGTCAGGCTCAAACAAACAAGGTTTATCCCTGTGATCCCTAGGGATACCT